TCTGCCTTTAAGCCCTGGGTCTGACATGTGAAACCTGTAAGGCAGCGATTCTCAATCTGTGGGTCGTTCGACCCCCACAGGGGTCGCGACCCTTTCACAGGGGTCGCCTAAGACATAACAGTAGCAAAATTACAGTTATGAAGTAGCGACGAAAATAATTTTATGGTTGGGGGGTCACCACAACACGAGGAACTGTATGAAAGGGTCGCGGCATCAGGAAGGTTGAGAACCACTGCAGGTCTCAGCAAGGGACATCGCCCTCACATGAGGATTGGGAAAATGGGGTTTGGGGATACAGAAGGATGCAGCGGTTCTGGAAAAATGTTTGGCAGTATTTTTTAAAGTTAAACATAAATTTACCAGATGACCCAGCAATGCCATTCCTAGGAAACGCCCCAAGAGACATGAAAACACATGTCCACACAAGGACTTGCACATAAATGTTCTTAGCAGCATTATTTATCAGATCCCCAAATGGAAAGAATCTAAATATTCGTCAATTCGGTGAATGGATAAACAAAATGTTTATCCTGGGGTATGGATACTACAAGACAATAAAAAGAAATGACAGCCTGATATATACCACACTCTGCGTGTACCTTGAAATATTTTAAACGAAGAAGCCATCACAAAAGATCACATATTGTACGAGTCCAAGCAATGAAATGTCCAGAAAAGCTGATAAATAGAGGCAGAGGATAGATCAGTGGTTTCTCAGGGCTGGGGGTGGGGGAGGGAACCAGGAGTGACTACTACAAGAGGGCACAAAGTTTCTTTTTGGGGTGATGAAATGTTCTAAAACTGGGTTGTGGTGATGGATGTACAGCTCTGTACATTTACTGAAAATGATTGGATGATACACTTCCAGCCGGCACATTTTATAATATGTAAATCAGACCTCAATAAAGCTGTTCTTAAAACATGGGCAGTGGGAACAGGAGGGTGAGGCTTAGGCAGGTCTGAGGCCAAGGAGGGTCGCTGGTGCCCCAACATCAGCCGGAGCGCAAGTGGAGTCGGAGAAGGAAATTCAGTTACTTCCCCAGCAACTGCCTTCCTCTGGATCGACTCACATTGCCCTGGCAGGTGGAGGAGGTTGACTCAGCCACTGCTGTGAGCTCAGGGAAGCGGGGGCGCTGCCCCCCACGCTCCCATCCCGCTGTGAGCTAACGCCCCAGCAGCCTCCCCAACACCAGCTCCCCCGGCACACAGAAGTCATCCTGACCAGCTGGGAGCAGCGGGCTGTCATCTAGCTGGAAGCTGAGCAGAGCTGGGAGACATGGCCTGCTGACGGATGGCAGCTTCTCATCCCTCCTCGGAAACCCAGCCACCTGTGGACCCCCAGGGCACCGCTCACCCACCCCCACAGCCTGCCACAGTGCACAACTCTGGCCCTACATGCTTACTTGGCTGTCCCCAGAGCCAGGGGACCAGCCGTGGGGGCTGGCACTTTTCTTGTTCAAATTTAACACACATACCCTTGGATCCAGCTCCTTGATTTTTCCACATCTATCTGAGATAAACATTTGCAGGTGTGCACAAAATGTTCTCGTCAACAAAAGCAAAGCCACTGAAAAGCTTACATGCCCATCAGCAAGGCACCAGGTCACTGATCCTGGTGAATACTATGGAATGGTATGCAGCAGCTAAAGGAAGGACACAGACCTATTACTCCACGGCAGATGCACACGCATGCAAACACCTCCAAGATGTATTGTTGGGTGAAAAAAAAGAAACTGCAGAATAATGTACCCAGGATGTCATCACTTACAAAATAAAAACAAAAAACAAAAAATCCCAAGTAGCTCTCTATTTCTCCAAGCCCACAAATACACGGGTAGATGAGAAAAATGCTTGGAAGGAAACACATGAAATAGCAGTACTAATTTCAGAAGGAAGGGAGGGAGGAAGATACTTTTTACTCTGTACATTTCTGTGCTTGATTTTTTTGATGTTGTTAATCCTCACCCAAGGATTCTTTTTCCATTGATTTCTAGATAGAGTGGAAGGGAGAGAAGGAGGGAGAGAGAGAGAGACATCGATGTGAGAGAGACACATTGATTGGTTGCCTTCCGCATAACCCTGGCCGGGGATCGAACCTGCAACTGAGGTGTAGCCCCTGGACCGGAAATCAAACTCAAAGCTCTTGGGTCCGAGGGTCAACGCTCTACCACTGAGCCAAACCGACCAGGGCCTGTGTTTGATTTTTTACAAGAAGAATGTTTGTGGGCATTTGGGTTTTTTAAAAACATTACTGTCTTGTTAAAAAAAAAAAGACCACAAACAGAAAAGGTTAGTTAAAATGGTCATTGTGCTGGTGCAGGGCTCAGGGTCATTTCTCTTTCTTTTTTTGGCACCATACCATTTATTCATACTTGGCGGCAAGACAATGTATGGAAGTGATGGGGGAGGGAGAGGGCACCTCCCGGGGGCAGCCCTGAGTTGGCACTCATACGGCATGTGGCTACGACCGGACTAGAACAGGCATCTCAAGGGGTGGCCCTCGAATCCACGTCGGGGGAAGCAGAGGAAATGACTAGAGACTGCCAGGGGAGAGGGCGCCCTGACCACCCTCACTGTGCCTGCCGCCATGAGCACTTTTCCGTGCCTGGTGGTCTCCCCACCCGTGCCATCCTCTGAGACTGTGTCCCTTGCTGTAACCCCATGGGCAAACCTGATGGAAGGATCAAAAAACTCATTTCCAAGGGGGCTTTGGTTTCTGGGTGGCCCCACCTCATGGGGGTGTAACTAGCACCGAAGCACTGACTGCACGAGCCCTGGGCATCACCAGGGGGCTCCAGAAGGTCCCCCGATGGGGAAGGCCTGGGGTCCCGAGGCCCACTTGTGTGCACACCACCGGTGGGTGGGTGGCCAGTGCTGGGCCATTCGGGTGGGTGAGGGAACGGGAACGCTCCCGCCTCAGAGGGCGTGGAGAGTCTAATGTCCCCACGGACACCTTCCGGGAGTCTTCCCCCACTCAGGGTCACTTTTCGAACAGCTGTCACATCCAGGATCTTGTCTAATTCTTGCCACACCCCCTTGAGGACAAGGTTCAAAGCCCCATTTTGCAGATTAAGAAACGGAGCACAGAGAGGTGAAGCCAGCTGCTCAAGGCCCCACGCAGGGCCGAGGGGCCCGTTTCTCACTAGAACACAGGGTGTACGGGGTGGGCCTGGGCGGGGGCTGCGGGCGGCCACCTTCTGAAGGGGCACAGCCCCTCAGAGCCTCTGCAAAGGCCCTTCAGGGAGGGAGAAAGGGGACTTCCTCAGGGAAGAAGGGACTGAAAGATGAAAGGGGAGCTGATGAACTCGATCGCCCACGGCAGAAATTAGACATCATGATGTGCCTCCCACAGAGTGGAAAGGGCCTGCCACGTCACCCAGCAAATGGCACGTGGGAAGGAGCCTCGAGGGGTCGTGTCCCCTGAGCCTGGGACTTCATGCCCCTGAGGGGCTGCTTACCCCAGGCTCAGCTGAGTGCCTCCCGGAATGCCTCTGGAACAGGGCAGAAATGGAACTGTGCTTCTCAGAGGGTTCTAGAACCCGAGGAAAAACAGGCGTAAAACCCAACACCCTCTAGTGCAGTAAGTGCCACCACGTCTCGGTTCTTTCATTGACAGCTTTAGCGTCAAGCATCTGGGTGTGCAGAGGCAGGAGCCCAGAGGGACCCGGGAATCATGGCTGGGCCCCTCCAGCACAGCCAGAATGGATTGGTATACAGAGAGGGACCACAGGCTGCTGAGGGTGGACAGGGGCACAAGCACGACTCTTGGCTGCACAATGAGCAGACCCGGCCCTTCAGGGCATGCTCAGAGAAGAGGGCGGAGGCCAAACCAGGCATCTTACAGCGGGAAGCAAACCTACAAGTCTATGAGGCCACTGACAAGAGCTTGGATCCTGGAGTTCTGATCATGCTCTGCCGACTTGGTCAAGGTTCTGAACCTCTCTGGGCCTCAGTTTCCCCATCTGTAAAATGGGTGTTTTATACCCGACTCTTGGTTATCATGATATCTGGATCATCGGATATCAATTTAATTAACAATATAATTAAATAAAATATAACAAGTACAGGGTATCCATAAAATGTGAAAATGAGTGGTGTATGTGTTTTATTTATTTACTCCTTCACTTTGTAAAGTGAAAATGTCCTAGACAACATTGTGTATATTATTCTGTTTGCAAACTTTATGAACATAACTATGATTTTTATACACATATATATTATAATAATGTATATATTTGTAACATGTTTATATTATATACCACTTTATATTCTATAAACACTGTGATTGTTTTATTTTATTATTACATTTTATCATATATATTATTATATTATTACTCTATTTTATTTCATTACATATATGTATATAATGAAATGGTCAAGAACTTCACGGACATTACCTAATTTAATGTTCACAGAAGCCCTCGAGGTGGATACAATTATTATCCCCACTTTACAGAGGTGGAAACTGAGGTCCAGGAGCGAAGTGACATCTACCTGCCAGGGTCACACAGGGAGTAACTGACAGTCAGTCTTGGACCCGCGAGTCGGCAGCAGCGCCTGCGCGGTCACCCACCGACACCACCTCCCTCTGCAGCGGAGACAGATGACAGGGACCTGCACACGGAGCCCCAGCTGGTGGCTGACACAGAGGGCCCCGGCAATGCCAGAGCCTGTGAGCACTGAGCTCTTGGAGGAGCGAGACCCGATCCAACCTGTTCACCAGCTATCTGGGATAATAATTCAAGTAGTGAATATTTGTGGCAGGGAAGGAAAATTATGAGGATGTTCATTAGCCAAAGTCTGAGATTCTTATCTCCCCTCCCCACCAAAGTCTAAGGAACATTCGGAGCCTTCCCCAGACGCGTGAGGCCACCAGACGCGGGATGGCCAGACCCCCACCCCCAGCCCGCACCTCTGCGCACAGAGTCTGAGGGGCCAACCCCCAACAGGAGGCACGAAGACCGAGGCGCCACCGGCGAACAAGCAGCAGAGTGGCCTACCTTCCTCGGCGTCGTTCCTCAGGGAGGCCTCCAGCAGGGCCACGCTGGCCTCGAAGGTCACCTTCTTCCTCCGGCCCCCCGAGCTGCGCTTCCGCTCATGCTTGCGCTTGCGGTGCTGCAGGTCCTGCTCGTACTGCGCCCACTTCTTCAGCTGCTGCGCCCGGCGCTTCTGGGCAGCCCGCAGCCGCTCCAGCGTGGGCACCTTCTCCAGCAGCTGCAGCTCGGTCAGCAGGTCCACGTGGCTGGCCATGGCCTCCGCGCCTCCCCACGCCGGCTCGGGCTAGCACAGTGCGCCCGGGGCCCCGGGGGCGCGGGGGCTCCGGCGGGGCTGGGGCCTCATGGTGGGGCCTGTGGCAGGGAGAGACAGGTGGACATGCTTGTCAGGCTCAAAACTCGGATCGGATTATGTCACCCCGTCCAGGTTGTTCCCTACTTTATTGGGTTTTTCTTCTGTCTTTTTTTCTTAAGATGTAATTGACCTTTAAATTGTGTAAATGTAAAGTGTTGATTTGATACACATGTATTGCTATGTGATTACCTTTGTGGTCTTAGCTAACACCTCCATCACATCAAACCATTTTTTTTTTTTTTTATCCTCACCTGAGGACATTTTTCTATTTTTTGTTCAGGTAGAGTGGGAGGGGGAGAGAGGAAGAGAGAGAGAAACATCGATGTGAAAGGGACACATCAAGTGGCTGCCACCCGCACGACCAACCAGGGCCAGGGACAAACTGCAACCGGGGCCAGGGACAAACTGCAACCGAGGTACATGCCCTTAGTGGGAACCGAACCTGGGTCTCTCGGGACCGCAGGCCGACGCTCTAACGCTGAGCCAAACCGGCCAGGGCCACATCAAACCATTTATTGTGGTTATATTGTTACAACACGGAAGGTTGTAAACATTGTTGAAACGTAAGGATTTATTGTGGATTGAAAGGAATTAATACTATATTTTTAATTTCCCAGTACTAATTTGTAATATGCTAAATATTGACAGATATAACCCACAGAACCAAAGCTCTCTGAGATTCTTAATTTTAAGAGTATGAAGTTTGATCATTGCTGAACTACTGAAACCTAGAAAATATTACTTGAAGTGTTCTTCTTTGATTGATCTTAAAAAAAAAAAAAAAAAAAAAAAAAAAAAAAAACCTTTTAAAAGTCATACCTCTTGTTCTCATTGATTCCTGGACAACACGAGATCAACAAAATTTCAGAGTCCGAAGCCCATAGGTCCCTGTCTTCAGACCGATGGGCTCTCAAACAAAGAGGAAACCACTTGAACCTCTCTAAGCCTGTTTTCCCACCTAGAAAATGTTGGACCCACCTCCTAGAATTTATAGGATGCTCAGGGAATACAAAGAGCTGACCAAAAATGTTATACACTTGGTATAGTAGCGAAAGAAACCAGCGTGGAGGAAGACGGGCAGGGACGCATAAAGGCAGTGCATCTGGGAACCCACAGGAAGGCGGTGGAGAACCAGGGGATGACGGGTGACAGAGAAAGACTGGCAGAGGTCGGCATTTGCACGATGTGGAAATTTCCATCATCACAAAGGGGATCAGGATGGCTCTGTGCTTTAGGAAGCGATTATTATCTCCTGGTTTCCCTGCTTCATTCCCATGGGGCTTGTGGGGGGAGGGGCACTGCCTGTCTTCAAGAGGAGAAAGACCAGGGTTCAGCCTCAGCCTGTCAGAACCTTCTTCAGGTCTCTCCCAGCTCTGAGACTGGAGGGTAGACAGTCAGAATGGGGAAGGGGCGGCTTGGCAATACTCTCAGGGCAAAGGTCCAAGGATCTGAGTGACCTCAGGGGTAAACATAAGCCTAAGGCAAGGCTCGGCAGGAAACAGCTAACTGGCTTTGGTTGCTTTTGTTTGGTTTGGTTTGGTTTTGAATACCTTACAATGCTTTTCAAATTAATTAACTAAACTTTTATTTTGAGATCACTGTAGATACACATGCAATTGTAACAAGTAACATAGAACAATGACTTGTACCTTTTATCCAAGTTATCCCAGTGGAAACATCTCACAAAACTACAGTTAATATCACAGCCAGGAACCTGACATTGATGTAGTCCATTAGTCTCATTCAGATTTCCCCAGTTTGACATCTACGCGAGCCCATGTGTGTGTTTAGGTTTATGCAATTTCATTACAGAGGTAGGTTCGTGTACCCACCACCACAGTTAAGACACAAACAGTTCTGCCACACAAGGATCCCTAACCACCCTCTCCTGACACACTCTTGTCCTTGCCCTTGGCAATCACTAATCTGTTGCCCATCTTTAGAATTTTGTCATTTCAGAAATTTTATATAAATAGAATCAGACAGTAGGTAACCTTTTGAGATTGGCTTTTTTTCACTCAGCACAATTCCCTTAGGATTCACCCAAGTTATTGTCTATATCAATAGTTCATTACTTTTTATTTTTAATAGCTGAGTAGTATTCCATTTTATGGATGTGCCCCAGTTTGTTTAACCATTTACGCATTGAAGAACAGCTGGGCTGTTTCTAGTTTGGGGCTATTACATCCACGTACAGGTTTTTGTGTGAACGTGAGTTTTCAGTTCTCCGGAGTAAATACCCAAGAGTACAATTGCTAGCTTCTAGGGTAATTGCATGTCTAGTTTTATGAGAATCTGTCAATCTGTTTTCCAGAGTGGCTGTACCATTTCTCACTCCCACCAGCAACATATGAGTGATCCGGTTTCTGTGCAGCATTTGGTGTTGTCACTGGCTTTTATTTTAGCCATTTAGATAGATATTTTGGTTGCCTTTTTCAAAGGAGCTCAGAAGAGTTGAAATCACAACCACACTGCATCATCATGATGGTCAGATCTCACTGGGAGCTAGTAGGCCACGTGCCTACACCCCTCCCCCCACCCTTCCTCAAGTGATGAAACATTCAGTGAACACCTGCTCTGGTGACAAGCCCTGATTCAGAGATGGGTTAGAGACCAGCTCTGCCTTCTAGGAAATCCCCATTTGTCTGTCTGTCTGTCTGTCAACCTATCTATAAATTCATTTAATCCTCCTGACAAGCTAATGAAGTAGGTACTATTATCATTCCATTTCATAGACAAGGAAATTGAGGCACAGAGAGATTAAGTAATTTACCCAACATCACACAGCTAGAAAAGGAACAAACCAATCTGCCTGGGGTTATCAGGAAAGGTTCTCCAGAGTAAAGGACAACTGATAATCCCAAAGGATGAGTAGGAAGGCATTAAGAGGTAAAAGGTAGACATGGGCTGAGAGGGAGCTTGGCACGTTCAAAGGCATGGAGAGGGGCTGACCAGCATGGAGGGAGTTCCGGAAACCACACACACAGACGTGGCTTGAAGGGGACAGAGCTGCCCAGCCCAGAGGGAACAGAAGTCTTGGGGGGCAGTGGTGAGCAAGTTGTGCTTGTGGGCCAGACCTAACCAGGAAGCCCCTATGGTCCAAGTGTGATCCACACAATGTTTTACAACAGCATAGTTCTTTGCTTGCATCAAAAACTTGGAGACTTTTATATCAAAATCAAATTGTCAGCTTTTCCTAGACTTTTATATCAAAATCAAATTGTCAGCTTTGGCCATGCTGGGCTCACGTGACAACACTCAGCAAGTGTGGAGTGGGGCTGTCCCCTTCATACGGGGCACACACCCTCTAACTTACCAAAGTCCCCACTCCTCCCCTGCCCCCTTAACTCTTTCCTGACCTCCTTCAATAAATGACGTCACTTGCCAGCTCCTATGCTCATTTGAGTTTGCAAGCCCTGTCTTAGGCAGAATGAAACAAAGTCTCCAAACACCCAGAGGTCCAATCTGCACAAGAAAGAGAAGATAGTCTGTGAGCCTCCCCAGTGCAGAACAAGACCAAGGTACAGGGGAGCCATTGCGTGCACCCACAGGACAGACACCAAAGCTGTCCAACAAGCAATTCCACAAGGTGCTCATGGTCCAGTGACTGTCTCCACGGGTGGCAAATTCCTCATCACTCACTAGACGATAAAATTTCCACTACATCAGATCAACCTAAGGACTCTGTAAGATTTCTTTCATTCCTAAGACTCTGCACCCAGACAGCTATTCATTTGTCATTATTAAGTATTTACTGATCACCTGCTAAGTGGGAGGAACCAAAAACATGCTAAGGCTGAAGGTAAGAATAACCACACCCATCACTTACACCGTTAAAACACCCAATCCCTTGCCCAGCCATCATCTCAAAGAGAATCCACTCCAAAAGAATTTTCAAAAGTACAGGACAAGGCTTAATATAGCATGGCCTCAGAGAGAGCAAGTATACTTTTCACTTCTTTTTTCATTTATCAGGTTTTCTCCAGGAGAAAGTGTCAGTGCGGTACTAATAGACCTTTAACATCATCAAAACCACACCAGTCTCCCTTGTAAACAAAGAGAAAGCAGGCCCCATGGCCTTGGGCAAGTGATCATATTCAGGATAGAATGGAATGACATTGTTGTGTTTTCTTTGGACTTGTTTTCGCGGTTACCGTTTATTTATGGTAGTGATATAAAATTTTCCCTTTTGAATAAATCTACTTCAGTGGCAAGCTAGCAAGGTGGTAAGCAAAGAAAACTTACATGATGGTGGTATTTAGTGCTGGCAAAGATTATACGTGACTGACATCCTCCGTGATGACAATCTTATAAGAGAAGCACTTATATAAGCTCATTATTTCATCTGAAAAATAGTTATCAGGACTGTGCTAAGGGCTAGGGATACAGCAGGGTCAAAGATAGGCACAGTCCCTGCCCACTGGGTGGATGACAAAGCAGAGGCACAAGGGAGTGAGTGACATGCTCCAAGGATACAGAGATTGAGCGGCACCTCGAACCCTGGGCCTGCTTCCCAGTGCAATGCGCCATCCCTGGAACCCATGGTGGCAAGCCCCAGGCAGGCCAAAGGCACTCACTGCAGTGAGCTCCCTGGCTCAGGCAGTTTGCTCAGAGTTATGGAATTAAGGGCAGTTGCCCAGCCCCCTGGAGAAAGGTGAGGACAACGCCTCCCAAGGGCCAATAAAAGGGGCCAGAGCACATTTTCTCTGACTTTGCTCTCCCTGCCAGCCCCTCCCACCTCGCCCCTCTGGGTTCCCTGGAGCTGGGGCTCCAGGACAGCTCCCTCTTGACTACTGGTTTTCAGGTGACCTAGTTTTCCCCAGTAGACCTGCACACCTCCTCCCACCCCTGGCCGAGAAAACCCTGCTTGGTCTAATTAAAGAATTGCCACCCTGCAGCTA